GTCCATGTATTCACTTGTTTGGTTTGCCACTCCCACCTCAGGGGGCTTGCCTCCTTGCAGATCCTAAAAGCTTTGCTCTGTCAGGACCAGTTCAGACCAGTTCTGCCAAGCTGACTCAGGGTGGATAGTCCTCAGTGGCTGTTTCTGGAGCAAAGTGCTACAGACAAGTGTGTCCTTGTCTCTTAGCTGAAGCCAGCACTCACAGGAGGGGACCAGGAGCATGTCAATCACCTGAATCCCCCACATCCTAATATGGTCACCCGTTGTATGGTTTCCCAGACATTCCAGAGAGCTATCGCTGTTCACACCACTGTACACCACGTGCAGTCGCTCCTGGGTACAGCTGAGGCACAGATTCAGTTGAAGTCAATTGCATCCATAATGACTGCGATGCGGGGATAGATGTAAGGGATAGATGTAAGGCTGTAAAACCTCTGGATATTCAACTCGCACCCTTGCAGTTTTGCAGTAACACCTGTCGGCCCAAACTCCTTCCTGCTGCAGCTCTCTTGAAACTGGTGCAGTTACATTAGGGCAAAATTTGACCCCAGCTGCAAGCAGAGACCTCTGTTGAGATTGGGTCATGACAGAGCCAGTTGTATAGTAAGGATGCACCTAGTTGCTAAAATGGTCCCTTTCAGATGGTTTTCCACTGATAGTGCTAATGAAGTCAAGGAAGCCAATGGCTCCATTTCCAGCAGGTCCTTTACCAGCTCTCCTGATTTACCAGCAAGCTTCACTTTATTATTTTCCTAACGAAAAGGCACCTGCTGACCTGTATCTATCTCCTGTGCAGCTGCTTGCTTCTACAGGTCTTTTTAAAAATTGTCTGGCCCTTTGATTAGCACATTGACACTATCTCAAGAGAAATAGCTCATAGTTAAGGTGACAGTTATGAAAAGGGCAGAGAAAGGGAAAGAAGATGAGGAGAACTGAACAGATTGGAAAACTAGAGGAACTGGAAAATATTCCAGTTTAGGTGTCAGTTTAGGTAACCTAGTCAAAGTGTCAGTTAGGTGTCAGTTTTATCTCTAATAGTTTTTATATTTTTAATCTTTTCTGAAATAATTCCCCAGATTCTAGCTGCCTTGTATTTTTAAAGTAATATTGTTGAACAGTTTTGATTCAAATGCAAGTTTTTAAGTGTTTCTAGCCTTAGTATTAATGTTGACATGGTTTTGCTTTCAAGAACATCATACAATAGGGGTTTTTTCAACAGTCCTTTCCTGTACTCACAACCCAAACCTTATAATGCTCTGCTTTTTGCCTGACAAGGCAGGAAGTGAAAAGGACTGGAAGCATCTTTGAAATGAATGCCTTTATTTTTCTTATCAAAACTAAAAAAAGCACAACCTGTAAACACGTAGCATCAATACTGAAACTTGATTTTCAGCAGTTTTATGGTTTCACCAGTCTCTGGTCATGTCAGTAACATATACTTTGATGTCTGTCTTTCCCCACTTCTTGGTTCTCTTTTTCTCAATCACCAAAAATGACAGTGTAAAATAGTCACTTGTACAAAAAAATTAGGTAGAAGAGAGTGTGATTTGTCTCTAGTCATTCCCCTTTTGGTTCTGTGACAGCACTGAATTGTTCATTCTGATTAAAAGCTGTTTAGGATTCTTAAAAACCCTGGAGTAACAAGCAAAGGAAGAGTTGCATGACTTTGAAGCTCTTTTAGAATGGTGTGGAGGCAGTCTGTCACATTTCAGTTAGTTCCTTTGCAGGTCATCAGTAGGATTAGCACCTAAAACCTTCACACCAAAGCACAGGCATCAACACATAAACTAGCAGAGTAACTGGATTAGGTGGTGGTGAACTGTGCTACAGAAGGATGTGACACTAAACCTGTCAACATGTTTAATCAGGAACAGGACAAAACTGATAGGGAAATAAATTATGTTTCCAAGATTTCAGTGAGTTATTGCAAAGAGCAGAAAGGAAACTTGCTAGAGTTTTTCCATTAACAAAGAATTATACTTCAATCTGGCTGACTATATTTTACATGTAACAACAAAAGTAAAATCCATAAGAGAGAGCACAGTGTGTGTGTCTCAGCAACATACTGTATCAGGGCTGCCTCCAAAAATGGCAGGAGCCTGTGAAAGCAGCATGAAATCTTAATGTGCTCTCATGTAAACCTTCCACAGGGATGAGCTAAGGTGCAGTTGCTGAGCCCTGGCCTCTGCAGGTTGTATGAAATGAATTCTGCTTTTCTCACTAATTCTTTGGCTGTTTCTCCCCAACAGCTTGCTCAGATCCTGCCCACAGAAGAGAACTTCCTGTTGTGTTTCAGACAGCATGTTGGATCCAGTTCTGAATTCATGGAGGTGAATAGAGAGTATATTATTATAGTGCTATTATAGATTCATAGTTTGTAAGGGGCTGGAAGGGACATCACAAGATCATCAGGTCCAGCCCCCCTGCACTAGGCAAGAAAGACAACTGGGGTCAGGTGACCCCAATGAGGTGACCGTCCAGTCTCCTCTTGAAGATTTCCAGGGTAGGCAACTGCACCACCTCTGGAGGGAGTTTATTCCACAGTCTGGACAATCTAACTGTGAAGAAGTTTTTCCTAGTGTTAAGCCTGAAATGGTTCCAAGAGTTTATGGCCATTACTCCTGGTTATTATTGTTATTGTTATTATTACAGAACTGGTTTTTGAAGCATTGGCTTAGCTTTTGGTTAGGCCCAGACTCTCAAAAGTAGTTAGCTTAGTTCATCAAATAGCCTCATTCTCAAATCCCAGGTAGCTGGGGCATAGATTAAACATAGGTACATCACTAGGAACTATATTGATCACACCTGTATTAAATAGTTTCCCAAACTCCAGACCCAGAATACCCTGGGCTGCTTGTAAAACCTGGGGTAGATTCTTTAGAAAAAGTCTCTTTTTTTTAACATTCCTACTCTGGTATGGAATGGAAACACCCCTGATGTCCCTCCATCAGCCACATGTCCTCTACTGCCACTCACTGGCAGATACTTTCCTCTAAGAGGGGAGGTGGAGTTATGCTGACACAGCTCACTTGGTGAGAGATCACTGTGAATTGCTAGGGCCTTTCAGTTTTAACCTTTTTCAATCAGGGAGACAGACCTGGGCTGTGACAAAGTGCTGACTGCCTATTGGCTAGTATGTTTTGTGGGTGCCATTCTGCTGGAGATGCTACATTTGGACAGGGCATGAAAGTGAGATGTTGTAACTCTGTGGTTAAAAAGAGCCTCTCACTCTTTTCAGAGAATTAGGGGTGTTTTATCATAGTGTCCTGACCAAACGGCAGCTTGACCATTGGATAGGCTGCCTCTGCAAATTCCACTGCCAGCATTTGAATATGCTGTTCTTTATTTGCTGCCCTAAACCATATAGTGTTGCTTTGGGCTATTAAGCAGTAGCTGGGTTCTACCCCAGAAGTGGCAGCATATGTGAGGAGGGTGAAATGATCCTTCTGTTCCTTATCTACTTCAGAGGGACCTCTGGGGGCTTAAACATTTAATATTTATAAAGCTCTCTCTCAAACTAGGATAAAAATGCCTCTAAAATTGTAATGCAACTGTGTTATATTATATGGCACCTTTGATGAAGACAGAGTTCAAAGTTCATCATAAATATTCTAGCTACATGAAGGGCTTCACCAGCTATTGAAGTGCAGCCATCTTTGGAGCAAATTACAGCAGCTGTCAAACACTGCACAGCAACACTATGCAAGAGTTTAAAACAACCATTGGAAAATGAGTACAATGTCCAAATTTGATGCAGTTGAATGAAACTGGAGTCCACCTATTGCTGCTTAATGAGCAAGTGAAACTACTGTTTAATATAAGTGTATGCCATTAAATATTAAATTCATCCCACTCTAGCAATAGTGAATATAATAATGAGCATGAACTCTTGACATGAAGTTTATCTCTGAGTGCACCTGGCTCTGTTAATTCAATTTCTTTCAAGACAAAAGACAACATTTGCAGTGTCCCCTGAGAGATGTGGCTGCAGAAAGCCAAGAGGAGTTCTGTTAACTGGGCACCTGTGGATGATGGAAATCTATGGTAGGAAGAAGAACAGTAAAGCAGGTGGGTCAGAAGAGGTCTCCCAGTATGTGGAAGACAAGGCAGGGTACTAGTTCAATCAACCATCTCCAGAGAAATAAATAGGAAGATCAGACTTGCTAAATGACATTACTTTCGGAGAATGTAAGTGAAAGGAGAATTTGAGTGAAGGGAAGACTATATATGGGCGGCAGATCTATGGAATTTTCTTCCAGTGGGGACTCTGCTCTCAAGCTAATGGATGTAGTGTAAGAACCAAGATGGAACTTAAACCACAGGGAAAGCACATTTTAACTGTTCTTTCCTTCTACCTTGTCTCCTCTGCTGAGGGGAAATATCCTCACTCACCCCAGGACTTCAGAACAGGCTCATTCCTCACTAGGCCCTTTTCCAAATCCAAACCACTTGGGTTTCTTCATAGTGTGGGGAAAGTCATTGGAGATATGTTTTTGATGTCTCCAAATCAGCTTTTTTACATCTAATATAACACATGGGTTGCTAGGGCAGACCCTGTTCTCTGGTGTCACAGTAACTGTACTGACTGCCACTCTCAAAGCCAAGAGAGGGGCTTCCTAGGCAGGAAAACCCTGCTTGGGTTTAGCACTTGAATGGTTGTACATGAGTATACATGGGGCTGAAGTCAACCTTGACGGTAAGGAGATGCAGTTCCCATTGAAGTCCAAAGATTTCCTAAAAAGATATCAGGAAGCTCTTAAGTCTTGTAGGTTTTATCTACATGACACAATCAAAAAAGGACAAAGGTCTGCCATGCCTATCAGCTCATCAGGCTGGTATGGTTAACACAGGCCTGTTTCAGTAGCCAGTGGCACATAAGGGGGGATGAATTTATCATGTCCAGTTGCCTTTGACTCCCTAGCCTGAATAACCAGGCATCCATTTGCAGTTGGGTCAACTGGCACAACTCTGTGGGTTAATTTACCCTGCTGAGAAGGGTAAATTAGCAGGGGCAGAATGCTTTGTTAATACAGCTCTATTACATTTAGCACATGACCTAGCTCACTCACAGCTAGCTTGGGTAACTAAACTACACTGCACTTTGTCATAGTAGACAGGCCCATGGATTCACAGTGGCCAGAAGGGGCCACTGTGATCATCACATTTGACCTCCTTTGTGGCACAAGCCAGTGAACCTCCCCCAGTAACTTCTGCACTGAGCCCAACACGTCTGTTTGAACTAGAGAAGATCTTTTGGCAGATCCAATCCTCAGGTAAAGGCTTCAAGTAACAGAGTTAGGGAGGTTGCTCCAACACTGTCCTTATGTAGGGAGGTTGTTTCAACAGTTAAGTCCCATTGTTTTAAAAATTGTGTATCTTATTTCTATCCTGAATGTGTCTAGCTCCAGCCTCCTGCCATTGGAGCTTGTTTATGCCTGTGTCTGCTAAATCGAAGGGTGTCAGCTGCCCACACCTGCTCTTCAGGGAAATTACCCAATCCTATATACTAACGTGTTGTGGTATTCCTATTGCAGGCTTGGCGGAAGTATGACACAGACCGCAGCGGCTACATAGAAGCCAATGAGCTCAAGGTGGGGTGCAAGTGAAGAACGCAAGGATCTGGGAGATAAGGCTTTAAAGGGTTATGCTACATCTAGGGGCCAGTCTTGCCTGGAGGGCCTCACCTTTGCATAGCTCACTTGTGGTCCACTCTGAGTGCATCTACACATGCATTTACTGTGCAGTAACTTACTATGCCATAAGCAGTTTTTAGGCCAGCATCTACATGGCAGCCATTAAAGTGCAGTAATACTGTATGTGGACTGCGCTGGGACTAACTTTAGTCCCAGGTCAGTTCACACACACAGTGTTACTGTGCAGTAACTAATCGGGTGTAAATTTGATACCTGCATCATGATGCATCATTTTGATACCTACCATCATTTGATACCTGTGTGATGCAGGTATCAAATTTACACCCAGTCGGCTTAATGCACCATATTTACTGCACAGTAAGAGCATGCATGTGTAAGTGTTCACCCTTACTGCACAGTAATTTGTGGTTACTGTGCAGTAACCTAAACTACTGTGTAATAAATGTGCATGTGTAAACACACCTTATGTGGAGGGTCATTATTGTCAATACATATCTGCCATACTTGGTCCATCAGTCTAGAAAGAGTCTTGATAGCTTGCACTGTCCCTGCCCAGCTCCTCTTTGCTTTTGTGTTCATCATAATGCAGAATGAAAAGTAGCTTCTGCTCCCATTGGAGACAAATGGTAAAACTGCCCCTGACCGTAATAACAGAGGCACAAATAGAAGGAGCAAGATGGGACCTACCACGCATACCCAGTAACACCTGTATCAAGAGCACCTCAATAAGGGATTGCTGTGTCCTAAGGACCAATGAAAGCTGATCTCATTGCAGTTTGCTCAAACCTGTAATCAAACACTGCTCAGCGGGCAACTGACCTTGGCTTTTCCCTGTTGGGGGGGAGAAAGGGGGTGGGGGGAAGGGGGGTCTTAGGTAGGTTTTGCTCTGCTGTGTGTGTCCGTCCTTTACCCCCATTATAAGGATAGTTCCTGGCTGCCTATTTATCACTGCTTATAAAATTCTAGCTGCTGGGATTTAGTCCCTTCTCTGGAACACCCTTCCCTGTAACTCAATGGCCTCTCTTTTTCAGAAAGTGTTATTCTTCCTTAGAGCCAAATCTTGTAAGGTGCTGAGCAGCTCCTACTTCCCTCAGCATTCATGAGCATTGAGCGTCCTCTCCCCATTTAAGGGCTAAGTCTAGGAACACCGACTGTTCCACTCTGATGGCAGAGGCTCAGTACATCTTTGCTTATTTGAACAGTATGGCGTGTCCTCTTACTCAGAAGGTTGTTGAGCTGCTTCTGGTCTCAAAGAACTTAGCAGGAGTGAGGAAAGGTACCCATAATTAGGGCAGTCCTGTACCTTTCTTTAGGGAGTGAGGAGCCTGATCTAGAAATGCTAGCAAGAAATGTTGGACCTGATCCTAAGGTGGAGGACATCAACCAGGCTCTCCTGAGCTCAGGTGAAGCTGTTTATACCAGCACTGGACCTAGGGATGCTTTTCAGGCCCACATACAAGATTGCAGAAAGCAGGTCATTGCCACTCTGAGAAGAGAGGAGACTGGACTCTTAAAGACATTGCTTTAGGTCAGGGGTTGGGAATTATTTCTGCTGGAGGGACGCTTAATGAGTTTTGGTGAGGCATTGAGGGCCACAAGGGTAGACCCACCCCTTGACAGGTGCTCCCCTCCCCTAGTCAGCATCTTGTGACCAGAAGTCCCATCTCCTAAACCACCCCCTTTGCCATTGGAAGTCTCTCCCCTTGCCCCAAAAGTACTTCTTTGTGTGTGGGGGGGAGTTGTATATTGTGTGGATGTGAGATGTGTATGGTGGGGTGTGGGGTACATGTGTGGATGTGGTTGAGGTGTGCGGGTGTGTGGGACTTGGATGTGTGTGGGGGTATGTTGGGGTGGGGGCTGTGAGGGTATGTGGATGCATGTGTGGGGAGGTGTAGGTGTATGGGAGGGTGTGGGTACATGTATGGATGTTTGAGGAGTGTGGAGTGCATATGTGGTTGGGGGTGTGTGTGAGGGTATGGTGGGGTGTGTGGGGTGTATGTGTGGATACGTCTGGGGTGTGTGGGATGCATAGTTTGGGTGTGTGAGGGGCTGTGAGTGCATGTATGGGGAGATGTATGTGGGGTGTGGGTATGGTGGGGGGGTGGTTGTGTGTG